GACCGACACACGAAACATCTTAACAGCAGCAACCCCGCACAGCAGTCACGAGTACTGAACATCAGCCTGATCCAATATCCCTGGCGACTATCCGCGTTTCAAGCCAAGTTCTGCGAGCCTCGTACCAGCACTCAAGCCTCCCGCGTGCTGCCGTGCCCATCTGGACAGCAGATATCGTACCACTGCGCACGGACACCATTCATCCCTCCGACTTTTGAGAAGCCCAGCATCGTCATCGTAGCGGACAGATCGTCATTGAAGCACGACACGCTTCTGTAGCACAGCATGACTCGAGCGCAGCGCTTCGGAACAGGTCTAGGGGCCGCAGTGCTGGTGTATGCGCTCCTCTGGCTGGATATTTTGCCTCTACCGCTCGTCAGCGATGAGGTCAAGTGGGAAATCTTGCCTGTGGTGAGTCATGTTGGACGAGCAGGCTTTGCGTGGTGTCATGGCGAGCTTGTGCGGATGCGGAAGTCAGATTGGGGTGGGGAGTGATCACTGGCATTCGCAGAGCCTACCAGTCCCTTTCTTGCTGCACCCATAACCTGGATCGAGCATGTGGAAGCGGATGAAGGGCGCTATGATGCTACCAGGCGGCGAAACAATGAGACGCTTTCCGGATGGGCCTGTTGTGTTTTGCCTTCTAAGCTCACGCAGTCATGACCCCCGCTCCTTGAAACGCATTCCAGATTCCCTGGTGGGTACTGGTCAGCACCGGCTCTTACCTCCTTTACGGTATTGGCTGGGGTCTCTATAACTTTAACGATGTCCCACAGGCGTACGATGATCTCATGGTGGTGAGTAGAGCCCAATACTGGCCAATGTACTAGCAAAGTATTTCGTGTATGCTGGCTTGGTCCTCTGCGCGTCTCCGCCTGCGTCATTAACCCTCAGGAACTGATGTCCGCTTGCTCGCTTCAATGACAGGACATCAAAGATGCGAAGGAGTATCTCGGATCGCGGGGGGTTGACATCTAAGCTAGACTGTCGGAGTCGACGAGACTGGAATGACTCTATGTCAGGCCTGCACTGCACATCGAATTCGTATTTGTACCTCGATTGACGCCTTGAGATGGAGCGTGTGGAAACGGAGCGCCAAGCATCTGCAGGAAGGGGACATTCTTTGCTAGCGAAATTACGGGCGAGCGTGGTCGTGACTTGCCCAACTACATCGGCAGGAAAGGGCAACGGACAGCAGGAGGAACGACCTCGTGTCGATCTTGTCTCTTCTCCGCATGGCTTGGCATTGTTTCTCCGCATGCCTTGGGGTCAATTAGAAGCAACTCGCTGTGATCAGAATGATGCAGGCGAGAGACGAGGAGAGTAGCTAAGAACTTGCCAAAATGCTAGCGGTCCTGTGCACCTCTGTAACGTCTCGCGACCTATCTGTGCTGCTCCCGTGGACCGAGAGTATGACGAGCTGCGTTGCGCAGCGATGGAGTCTTCGCTGGATTGATGCACTGTAGGATCCCGAGGATAACCTCAGACAGGCACTACTGCGAGGGTAGAGACATAAGCGAGATCGCGTCGCATACATGCGGATCTCTGAAGGGCTTCCAGGTTCATACTCCCACTTGATACTTGACGCTCGCGCATACGGAGCAGTCGTCCTTCGCACATCCCACCTCGCTCTCGAATGCTTCAAAAGCGGAATGTCAGTCTACAGGTTGTCTGCGACTCGATCACCGTCTCCGATGCTGCGCAAGGTCCGAATCGGGCCTCCATATGAACGCTGAGAACATCGTATCTTTCCAATTTGTGCATCTGTAAAGCTAGCCGTATGTTGAAGTCTTGAGCCAAAATGCCGCTACGCGAGAAAATACCCACACTACCTGTCGTCCTTTGACGACACTGACAAAGCCACTCGCAGACAGCGTCTTGATTCAATCAATCATCACCGAGCCTCGGGCATGCTGCTGCTGCAGGCAGGAACTGATCCGGTGCACCGCGACGCGCTAAGGACGTTCCCAGTCACAGTCATGGCCGGAATTGTAAGGATCACAGTGTGGGGTCAAGTCAAGAGCGCGATCGCATCTACTGTGACCCGCTCCTTAGCGCCAATCTAGAGTGAACAACTGTGAATTGCGGTCCGAGTCAAGTGTCGAGGAGGGGCCCAAATGGAGCAGAGAGGTTACGATGACGTACTCGACCTGCATCGGCTCCGGACTGCCTGCCTGCCTGGCTTGTGTCTCACTTGGTCCTGCTGATGCTGCTGCTGGTACCGGTACAGCATATGCTGGAGCAAATGCATGCGGCCAAGGCTCAACACAAGCGAGGCACTCAATCGAGACTTGGCGGGCGGTTGATTGCTCGAAGGTGATCCGTGCAACCTAGCTGCAAGCAGCAGGCCTTCAATTGCCGCCTCTCGCGTCTGTCTTCTCTCTCGATCATCAAAAGTCGTGGATGTGAGTCACGAGTAGTGCTGCACTTGTGGCTCCTCTCCCCAGAAGCAGGCAGGCAGGCAGGCAGTCTGCACGCTGGGCTGGAGGTACAGTTGAGTACCCACACGCGTCGGCAAGGCTATGTAGACGTGCAGCAGGTGCAATAACCGCTCGATCGTCCTCACGCTATTTCGGGCAAAAAGCATCACCTCTTGACGTTACTCCGACGGAGGTGCAGCGTCCGTGCTGGGACTGGCATTGCTCAGAGTGGGTAGCTGCTGTATAGCGCTCTACCTCTGAGGAACACTTCATATTTCATGACAACTACTGCTGTGCTGCCTCGCCGAGCTGGAAGCCTCATGAACGCTTCATATTTCATGACGACTACTGCTGTGCTGCCTCGCCGAGCTGGAAGCTCGGCCATCTTGGCGGTCGATAATGCCGAAGACAGTAATACAAAAGAATGGACCTCTTGCCCTGCGCAATCCCGTTCCCCGCCCTCCCCCTTTGCCATCTTCATCTCATCATCCTGCCCCCTTTCCCCTCAGATATCCCCATTCAACCACGAGCGACCCCCTCGTCAGCCTGACACTCTTTGGACAAGATGGCAGACACCAAAGCAGATGAGAAACCGCCGGCACAGCCCATCGAGCGCACGTACAAGGGTGAAAAGGTGCTCGAGATTCCTCAGCAGCCCGTGCCCGTCGCCGAAGGCTACGTCGGCAACCTCACCTCGGAGCAAGAAGCCAAGCTAAAGGAAATGTGGTTGGTCTTTTTGGATGTGATCGAGAAAGCACATGGAGCAGGCACAGGAGCTCAAAAGCAGGAGCTACCTTCGGATGAGGTCGACAAGGATGCGGACAAGGCGAATGCTGATCCCAAGAATGCTGGCATTGCCAAGGATGACAAGGCAAAGGAGAGGCAGCAACAAGCCGAGGAGCAAGCTGCTCTTAGCGCACTTCAGAAAGAGTATGGACCCGAAGCGCTCAGAAGCGCAGTCTGGCAATTCGTCAAGGGAGACCACCCCGATTCTAGTATGCTCAGGTTCCTGAGGGCTAGAAAGTGGGATGTGAGCAGGGCGGTGGCGATGCTGGCGGCATGCATGCACTGGAGATTGAACAATGACGTCGAGTCGCTGGTCGAGATGGGAGAGCTGGGAGCAGGAGAGAAGATGACGCACTTTTTGACCCAAATGAGAAGCGGCAAGACGTACAGCAATGGAAGCAGTCTCAACGAGCAGCCCATGATCTACATTCACGTCAAGATCCATCAGCTTTGGGGTCAACCTCAGGCGCAGCTGCAAAAATATGTCATCTTTGCTGTGGAGACTGCTAGACTGCTCATGTGCCCTCCCAGCGACAAGGTGGTGCTCTTCTTCGACTTGACTGGCTTTGGACTGAAGAATATGGATTTCCCGTGCGTGCTCTTCATCGTCAAGGTCCTATCCAGCTACTACCCAGAGTCCCTGGGCACTTTCTACATCCACAATGCGCCTTACATCTTCAAGCCCATCTGGGCTATTCTTCGTCCTCTCTTGGATCCTGTGGTCAGGGAGAAGGTAGTCTTCACCTCCAAGCCTCAGGATTTCGCAAAGCACGTGCCAGCCTCTAGACTGGTCAGCAGTATCGGAGGAGATATGGTCACGGAATTCGAGTACACTGAGCCTGATCCTCATGAGAACGACTTGCAAAAGGATACAGAAGAGAGGAAGAAGAGGTTCGACCACTACATGTCGCTCGCACAGGAGTTTGAGCATGTCACTAGGGAGTGGGCAAAAGGTGGCGCTAGCGAAGAGACGATCAAGAAGCGCAAGCTTTTGATCCTTCAGTTGCGCGTCGCCCAATTCGAGTTGGAGCCCTATACTCGCGGCAAGACCGTTGCTCACCGACAGGGTGTTCTGGATGGGCAAGGCAAGGTGACATGGAGGTACGAGCAGAAAGATGGCTCTGTACAGATTCACATCGTGGGTAGGAGGACTTGCGCAGCTACGCTCAGAAGAGAGATCAAGGAGATCGAAAGCGGCACCAATCCCGAAGAGGCTGCCAAACGATCCGAAAAGGCTTTGGCCGAACGCGATTGGATCGCACTCTATGGAGAAGAGAAGATTGCTCGAGAGCTGGAAGGCGATGATGTGAAGCAGTCGGCCAGTGAGCAGCCTTCAGCGCCGGCGGCGGCGGCAACTAGCCAAGAGCCAGACAGTAAAGAAGCCGAAAAGACAGAGGCTGGCGCGGCAGAAAACAAAGAAGCTGTGAGTGCTCGTTAGTGAGGGCTTTTGAGATCTTTTTCAGCGCGACTAACAATGGTCTCGCTTGTCGTCTGTCTCGCTTCTGTGCAATAGGTCGCAAGCAATGGCAAGTCTGCAAAGAAGCCTGCTGAAACGAGCGCAGCTGCCGAGCCTGCTCAACAGGTCAATGGCACCGAGGCTGCAGAGGCACCTTCCACCGACGAACAAGGTTCGGACAGCAAGATCGGCACGCTGGGCAAACGATTCAGCAAGCTCATGGGCAAAGCTACTGCCTGATTCAAGCGTCTGCAGCAGTCCTAGTCATCTGCAACGCTGATTTCCTTCTTTCTCTACGACACCTGACCATCCCTCGCGACCCTATCTATCCTCCGTTTACATGCTCGTAATGACACACCGTAACTCTCTGACCTTCCGATCAAGTCATCGCTTGCAAGCTTGACATTCGCAGATATGCACCGAGACGAGTGTTTGTAGATTCAAGCGGCACACGTGCAGAGCCATGGGAGCCCCCAGACCAGCTCAAGAATAGCTCGCGTGCCAGGAATTCTGGTATTACAGGTGTCGGCTTTGATCGTAGTATACATGGTGAGTGGGTGTCAGGCGACGACGCGAGCACCTTTGGACGGCGGAAAGGCGCAGCGAAGCGCCAGAAAAAAGAGTGAAAAGTGGACACAACGTGATTCTGAGCCATGAAGGGTCTTCATGAAGAGTCATCGAGCCGCATCGACACATTCAGTGCTCGGAAAAGTCAAAGACTCTGATCTCCGTATCGTCGCCGGCGCATACGATCTTATCGTCGGCAAGTTGAACGCAAGTGGTGGCCCCTCTTGGTCCGACCAAAGTCAGCTCGCAAGCGCCGGAGCTAGCGCTCCAAGTCTTGATGGTGCGATCATGCGAGACGCTGACCAGTCTTCTGGTATCGCAATCCACTGCCCAGACGCCGAGCGTGTGGCCAAAGAGCGTGCGCACGCATTTACCACCGCTCTCGATGTCCCAGACTTTGATGCAGTTGTCAAGAGAGCCGGAGTAGAGGACCGCCCGAGTGCCGCCTCCAGCGCCGTGGGCGGACGCATCGGCACCAGCCCCGCGACGCCGTTTCTCGATGTCGCCCTCTTCAGCGTCCAGCGGCAAAGCAGGTGCGAGTCCGGCTTTGTGCAAACGACTATGGAGACGAGCAAGTTGAGGATCGATAGGCTTGCGAGTGATAGAATTTGAAGCGGCTCTGCTCGCAACAGCGTTGTAGTGTCGCTCAGGCATGGCCGGTGCAAATCCACCGTTCGGTTCGCGGCCACCAGGCACCACCGAAGCATTGTAGCCGCAGCTCGAGGCTCCACCGGTTGACGAGGACGGAGCAACAGTTCCTGCGACTCCGTCGATGGGATTCGATACGTTCGGCCCGCGATCACTTTCGCCTTGACGTGTGATGCGTTGCTGCGATCCTCTTCGAGTGGTTTGATCGTTGGATCCGCCTTCGCCTTGAGCAAGCTTGTCCACGACATCATGCGGGAGCATGACGAGCTTAATGCTTTGCACCTGGGCGACATGTCCGTCGAGGTTCAATAGGCACTCTCTCAACTCGAGATCCCAAAGTCGGATAGTGCCGTCGTCACTGGCGCTGAAGACAAAACCAGCTGCAGATGCAGATGCACCGGCGCTGGTGCTACGCTCGCCGTCGGCGCGTAATTCACCGTCGTTCCAGTTGGTAGGTGCGCCCCCGGCAGCAGAGTTGGTCTTGGTAGCATGTGAACCTCCAGATGCGGGCCCTGACCACAGTAGAACCGAGTTCACCCAGTCGGTATGGCCACGCAAGGTATAACACTCTCCATTCTTGAAGTTCCAAATCTTGATATTTGAATCTGCACTGCCACTGGCAAGAGTGTCCTCGTTGAAGTTGAGACAGATGATGCCTTCTGTATGACCTTCAAGAGTCCGAATGCATTGTCCGGTTCGCCAATTCCAGATCTTGAGAGTGCGGTCCATGGAGCCCGTGATCAGCTTGGCCTCGTCGAATTGCAAACAGCGAACGCCCCTCGAGTGGCCTCTGAGCACACGTAGCTCCGCGCCCGTGTCTAGATTCCAAACACGAGCGGTGCGGTCGTACGATCCGGTGATCAGGACCGGAAATTGTGGATGAGCTAGATGATCGGAGAACTGAAGGCACATGATACCGTCCTTGTGTCCTCGTAGCGCCCGACTGGTGTAGCGACCTTTGCGCCAGTTGCGCTCGATGGCCAGGCGCTCGCAGTACACAGACTTCCATGGTCGAGTTGCGTGCGACAACGCTGCGGAGTGAGGTGGCGTGATGAGGGCGGTCGCAGCTGCTGCTGCAGCAGCATTCTCCACGCTAGCTGAAGTGGCCTCAGACGTTAGACGCGGTCTCTTGGAAGGTCGCGCGGCGGACGATCCCGCCTCAGCGTTGCTCGAGCTGCCTGCTGCAGCCTCTTCCGAATCGATCGAGGCGTGCTGCACCGATGGTGAGGGGGCAGCCGATCCAGCATTGCTATCTGCTCTGGCATGACGTTCTTGCGCAGCGGCATTTTTTGCGGCAGTGATGCTTCTCTTCAGCGTGCCGTTGCCATTCGTTGGTGAAGGCACACCCGTTGCGGCATCGCTAGACGGTGTGATGGTCAAAGGGGTGCTGGGTTTGGCGCGTCTTCGTCGCTCGCTGAGTAGAGGCAAGCCCCATCCGCACTTTTCGCATTTACGCTCGATATGTTGCTCGCACATGTTGCGCCATAGCAGGTCGTCATCTGCCAGAGCCCGCCAGGTGCGGGAGACCTGGGCAGCGCGTCCCAGGGACATGGCATCGACGTAGCCGAGCACCTTCAGCGAAATCTCGCGTGGAAAGAGCGAAAAGGGGTCGATACGGATCGCCAGCGCCAGCTCGGACGACAGCAGGGATAGTTGGCTGAAACAGCACATGGTCAAGAGTCCTTGCAGAATGAGTGCTCTTCTGGATGCAGGGGACGAGGAGAAGAGAGTCCACACGGTATTGACCGCTTGCTGATCTGCCAGAGGTAGAGATTCAATGGACTGTCATGATTGCACAAGAGCAGCAAAGGTGTCAGCGGACCTGCCCCGGCGTCGTCAGCGTCGCGTCGCTTGTGTATGTAGGATCGCTTCTATGGCTACGCTTCGTAGAAGACCGGAACGCGGCCTCAAACTGGATCCAAACGATATTGCAAAGTCTTTGCAAGCATGGACAGAGTCCATAGCTTCCGCGACGGGCAAAGCTGTCCATTGTCAAGTAGGACGGGACAGCCCACCTCCGCACGACCTGCGGAACCTCACTGAGCTACGTGGAAGATGGCCTAATCGCCGCCCACGAGAGCCGATACACACCCAATTACTGCGGTGCCGACTCACCTTTTGCAATTTGGCTGTTGTAGGCTCATCTGCCATACGCTGGTGGCGAACGCACAAGCGTCGAGATGGCGGAGGGATGAGTGGGGTGGATGGTCCGGCGCGCGCCATCTCAGCAATGATGTCCAACGCAGCATCTCCAGTACTCTGGCTTATGCGGTCCTCGTTTGTGGTAGCGTGACTGCTGTCAGAATCTCTGCGCTGCGAGGAAGGGTCGATGGTTTGCGTCATCGTATTGGGATTGGATGCATGAAGCCCTTCAAGTTGAGA